TCTATGCTCGCAAACACCTTAAGACAGCCAGCCAGACTATCGACGCGTATGCCAAACGCACAACAAGGTGTCGGCAAAAGAAGACGTTTGAGGACGAATCTCAGCTGCCATATCCACGATCAACAGGAAAAAAAAAGGCCACAATGGGCTCTCACACAGCCAGCGGCTGATAAACTTTATATAGATAGTAGACAGCATCTTGGGCCGGTCAGTTCAATGATGATATCTCAAGTTCGTGGCACTTTATAAATAAATAAATAAATAAATAAATAAATAAATAAATAAATAAATTTACATAAATAAATACAAATTGAAAATAAATAAATAAGCAGGGTTGCTGGCGTTTGGGATGTGCCGAACGCCCGAACGTTCGAGACCCGCTCTCGATGCATTTGGCCGAACGCGGACCCAAAAAAAAAAAAAAAAAATCCAAAAAATGTTTAAAAATCTGAAAAGAAAAAATGTTATGCAGAAGAATAAACTGCACAACATTTGCCCCAACGTTACATCCAAATTCTTTACCAAATTTGAAATAAAAATCAAATACGAAAAATAAATAATAAGAATGAAAATTAGAAAAAATAAAACAAGAACGAAATTATTGAGTGGGCGAGCATGTTTTTGACACCGCCATATTTGGCGATTTTTCCTTTTTTTTTTGCTTTGACAAATGCCATGAAAATTCATATATGTGTGTATCTTACATAATAGAGAACCTACAAATAAGGTTTGAAAAAATCATAATCGTTTTCATGCCCCGACATAAAGGGAAAACAAAAAGTGAAAAGAGAGAAAAAACAAACTAGTGAGTGGGCAAGCAAGTTTTGACGCCACCATCTTTGCCGATTTTTCATTATCGTTTGGCCTCAACAGAATGCCTTCAAAATTAAGAGGAAGATACCTTACATTACAAAAAACTCACAAAAACAAAATCAGAACAAAATAATAATATTTAGGTGCCAAAATATTTGTTGCAGGGTCCGAACCCCTTTGGGTTCGGGCCCCGTACGCCGTACGGGGCCCCGAACGCCTGAACGTTCCGGGGTCAGCTTAGGGGCCTCCGTACGTTCGGACTGGCACCCCTGTAAATAATTCTATTTCAATACACTGACCTGGTCTGGTGATCGAGAAGGCGAGCTCATTGGTTGGGTCTGCACAAGATAACACTTCCGCATCGGACATTTTTTTTTTTTTTTGAAAAAAAATAAAAAATATGTCCGATGCGGAAGTGTTATCTTTCTTTTTTTCTCTCTTCCATCCAAAGTTTTCAAACCCCAAAGCAGAGGAGCACTCCTCCGACAACCACTACGTTCCACTCCCTGGGTGATCAACCCAGAGGGAGCACTGCACGCCCCAATGACCTAGGACTTGTGCTGCGGTTCCGCGTCCAAAAAAGAAGGTATGGCAAATAAATCACTTGGCACTTGTGCAATTATCAACAGACCAAGCGATGGAAAACAGTTTTGGGGAAAGTCCAAAGGGGGTTGTCAGAATTTGCAAAGGAATCCTCAACCGTTCAACGAATCCTACAATAGGTGGTTGTTCCGTCTGATTGGCTGAACTATTTAAAACAAGGAGCTAAAGTGCAGTTATGGGACGAACAGATCAAGCAAAGGAAAACGCTCCAAGAACAGTATAACGGAGAGTTTAAACCACCAGTATCTCAGAAAAGCGCAGGACGTGCACGCACCAGCAGCCATTGCTACAGTGCCGCGACTGTTCGTTTCGAATGAATTCGACATGTTTGAGCTGTCAAAATGTATGCGGTCTACGTTGCAATCGACATCCCTGGTGTTGAACAGCAAAAATGTACGAGGTGTACGTTGCACTCAATATTCTTGTGTTGAACAGTAAGAATGCATGTGGTCTACGTTGCAGTCGAGATTCTTGTGTTGAACAGTAAAAATGTGTGCGGTCTACGTTGCAGTCAAGATTCTTGTGTTGAAGACGTTGCAGTCGAGATTCTTGTGTTGAACAGTCGAAACGTATGTGGTCTACATTGCAGTCAAGATTCTTGTGAAATTTTGACTAGTGGCGCGGGCTCCAATGATATTGTTGACACAGGTCAAGAGGTCACTAACATCAGCATAGATATCGATGATACAGAATCCAAGGTGACTGTCAGAAGGGATGCAGTCAGAGAGTACGCATGGTGGACAACGACAATCTCACACTTTTCCCTCCCCCCCCTCCCTATTGTTTGCCATTGATCTTCAGGGTGAGTAGCGGAACGTTCTGTAAGTTGAAGAAGGCTGTTTGTGAAAACAGCTGGAGATATCAGAAGAGAGAATGCTGACACGAGTAACAAAAAATCAGGTGACAAACATGATCGCCGACAGTTCAAGGGTTTCTGCGTTCAGTCAATCTACACAGAGTGAATCGGTCCCTGAGGAAACCCCTCCCCACAATCCACGACTTAGAACTTGATGCCGCGGAATGCGCGTGGAATCTCAAAGGAATGCCAGGAGGACTCTTAGCCCTAGATATAATTTTGTTGGAAGACGAGGAAGGGGCTTTGGAATCGAAAAGGAATCTCCCAAAAAAATCTCAAATGAATCTCAGAGGAAGACTACAAGACGAGGTGGGTTATAAAGTTCGAAAAACTTAGAAGTTAGATGTTCTTGGACGGTGGGCTACGGATCAGGAGCTACGAACCACACTAAAAGGCTGCCACGCCCTCTCCGATAACTTAACACTGGTCCGAAATAGCATCCCAACACAATGGCTCCCCCTCCTAAGAGAGGAATTCTCGTGGAAATCCGGGGACTGGGGCATACTAGTCTCCCAAGCCCAGCCTACCAGGGCATACAGATTCGTCGCTAGAACAGACCCACCCAGCTACCTATCCAAGTTCTATTCCTACCCGGTAGTGAATCACAGCACAAACGAAATGGAAGTTCAGAACAATGACCCCCAGAGCGAGAGGCTGGAGACTTTCCGACTGAGAAAAGTGAGGGTATCAAAGTCCAAACCCTGGATAATCTTCCGACCGGATCTCTGCATCTCAGAGCTAGAATTCGACCCGAAAGAATGGATATGGGAACAGGGAAACTCAGGGAGGACGAGAACAATAGCAGAATATGACGTCAAATTCGGCTACGAGCTAGGCCTACAGACCATAGACCCAGACCCCAGACTCAGAAGCAAATGGAGGGATATACTAAGTCTGGATCCCTCGACCCCCATAACCATCCCGTGGACTAAATTCCTAACCATCAGACCAGCTAGGATTCGAAGCATGCAATGGCTCTTAGCACACGCCGCCCTGCCAACCAATCAGTGGCTCCACAAGAGAAGAAAACACACAGACCCTGACAGCACTGAGATATGCAGACTGTGCACAGACAATGCTGTGGAGGACACACTCCACTGCCTCTTATACTGCACGGAAGCTACGTGGATCTGGAACAAAGTGCGCGTCCTATGGACCTCTCTCTTCTCTTCAACCCCCCCGGCCACAACCCCCCTGAACATCCTGCTCCTATCTAACGACATTAACAATCTCAAAGGCGGCAAGGAAGTGTGGTTCCACCTACTCAGAAAGCGGGCTCTATGGGTAATCTGGAAAAGGAGGTGCTCCAAGGCGATCGAAGAGACCGAGGTGCCAAGAGAAGAAATGTGGGCTCTACTGCTGAGAATGGCTGAAACAGAGATCCGATCCAGATGGCGAGAAGTGACCACGACGACGAAGGGCAGACCAGAAAGAACAGCCACCAAGAGACATAAATTTACAAGAGACTGGCTTCTACAAGGAAAGATCGCGACTGTGATGGACAACAGAATGGTGTGGAAGAAGTGGCACAGCACATGAACAGGGATCCAAGAAGGAGCAAAATGAGATTATAATCTCAACAGTCTAGACAGCTCTCCCCTTTTCTGGTTTTACAAGTAATATCTGGCAGAGACAATGTAGACTCTGAGAGGAAAAGAGGTAGGGCAAGCTGACAGCAAATCCTCCTGATAGGGAGCAATCAATGGTGGTCAGGGTTCCTTCAGCCAGACGGAAGGAAGCGTGTGGGTGCTCACCATGTATTTCAGTCTTGACTTGCCGGTGGAAAGGAACCGGACTGACGCTCCCCAAAATGGATATGGAGCCAGGACCATAAGGACCTGATTTAAGTTAAAAAAAAAAAAAAAAGAAAAGAAGAAGAAGAAGAAGAAGTTAGATGTTCTTCAGCTCCTGATCTATTGGGTCTCGCGCCACTACTCTCGACTCTCGATTTTTCGACAGTCTGCCCTCGCTCCACTTACCCTCGAAAAGGACTCTCCAAAAAACCCTTTCGAGAGCTGTCAGTAAGACACAACCGAACCCAATCGGTTATTCGAGAGACCCCGGCTTGCAACTTGAGTGTTTTCAAGTGTCCTCGGCCGTGCATTCCAAACGCCCTCATTTTTCCAAAGTGGCCTTCCTTTCAGGTGTCGGGTAGTGCAGTCGGCCCTTGTCGGGTGGGCTCTTGAAGTTTGCGAGTCTGACCTTCGAGAGAGAGTGGAGCGAAGACGGGATTTTCGAAGTTTTGAGAGAGTCCGACCGCTCCCAAAGGACTCTCGGGGTGCAAGACTGAGCAGGGAGAGGTGGGTGGTGCTTTGAACTGCTTTCCCACTCCACTGTCTCAATATTGGCGCGACTTTTTCTTTTCTTTTTTCTTTCGATGTAAGCGCTCCAGCCATCTAGACAAAATTGGGGTGTATGTAACAGGATTTCTCTGCCCCATTGCAGACTCAAATTCTGCCCCTCTTTCGAAAGACGGGCGCAAGCCCAGGTCCATGGGAAAGGATTCAAATCTCGACAACATCAGTGGCCAAGAGCAAACAGCTTTCTCCGCTGACTGACTGGTGCTGCTGCTCATAAGTTGACAACAGCCGACTACGGCAGCAGATATATAGTGTCACCTGAGTAAGAAGAAGGAACAACGCAACGTAAGAAGAAGGAACAAAGAAAAGAAGGAATGGGCCCTTATCAACACCTCTAGCACGCGCAAGGAATGTTTGGAAAAAAAAAGAAAAAGGAATGGGTTTCATTTCAATCAAAATCATACAATGTGGCCTTTCCCCACCCCAAAGGGCAGTGATCATCCTCCTCAGTGCTGAAGATACACTTTCGTATTCTACATGTCATCAAGCGCTATCCTAGAATTCTCACTCACTCACGGAAAGACAAGCCTGGAAACTTAGGACCACTGTAGAGTCGACACCCAAGCATTTTTCTTAGGACACTGCCAGGCTGTGCCAGCCGCTGACAACGCTGAGAATGCACTCACCTCCTGCAGCTCTGGCGTCGCTTGGACCCTACTAACAAAACCCTCCTCTCCTGAGCCAGCCAAGCTTCTGAAAAAATATGCCCTTTCCACCTACACCGCCACCTTACAGTGCCGATCTCCACTCCGTATTCCATGCCCTGTTTCACATCGTGTTCGAAAACCTCTCCCCAACAACAACTGCTTTGTTAACTGCTGGTTGAAACACATTCCAGCTACCCCGCTCCCTTCCAATCCCGATCTCCACTCAGTATTCCATGCCCTGTTTCACATCGTGTTCCCAAACCTGTCCGCAACAACAACTGCTTTGTAACTGCTTGTTCGGACTCTCTCCGAGATGCGTTTCCACCTTCTTTCATGCCCCCCTGGTCCACATCATACCGAAGCTTTATCAACGCTGGTTTGAACCTTCGCATTTGACTTCCATGCCCTGGTCTACATCATGTTCCCAAACCTCTCCGCAACAACAACAACTGCCCTGTGACTGCTGGCTTGAACCCCTTCCAAGACGCGTTTCCACCGTCTTTCATGCCCTGCTGCACCTCATACCGAAGCTTTATAACCGCTGGTTCGAACCTTCGCACTTGTCTTCCATGCCCTGTTGTTCCGGACATCATGTTCCGCAGGCTGCTCCATTGCCTGTTATAAAGCTGCGATGAACCCAATGATGCCTCCTCTGCGAAAAAATCTCGTGTTCAAACCTTCCGACACGCATCTCCACTTCCATATTCAGTATTCCGTGCCCCATTTCACACCAAGTTCCCCGCGCCCCAGCCCTGTTTCTACTCCGTGAGTCACTCAATCCCATTACACATCATGTTCCATATCAAGCCCGATCACCTGGTCTACACCCACAAGAATGCCTGGCTTTCGCCTACAATTGCACTCAAACAAACTCAATGGCAGGCATTGGCAGAGCCTTCCAAACCCATTTCCGCTTTGTGATTCATGACCCGTAGTACCACATCGCATGACGATCCCACGGCCCCCCTACCACATGACGTTCCGCTCCTTCCATACCATCACGTCCCATGGCCTGGCCCACAGCAATGCCTGCCTGCTTTGTCACCGCAACGGCTCTCAAATTTGAATCAAATCAAACTGTAACTTGCAGGACTACCCTCGGTTATCCCTACTTTTTCCCTCTCTCCCCCGTTCTCCCCCATCAGCCCGCCAACACTAGCTAGTAGCTGACACCTGTGCCACAGGCTGCTAAAATCCCACGAACGCCCTCCCCTTGTCAACTGCCCACCCATTGACAGGTGTGAAATCGGCTGAACCTTTACAGAAGGCACCGACTAGGACCACACTCTCAGGCTCTTCCTCAATTCTTCAGGAAGAACTAGTCGCTCCATCCGTCGACTCGTCGGCTGCAATCTCAAGCTGTCTTACAGCCATTCCACTCTGCCGGGGGCCCGATTGGCAAAGTGGATGCCATGATAGTATGATGATCCGCTCACAGAGCTGCAAGAAGAAGAACTAGTTCCGCTGGTCAACTACCGGACTGAAACCTCAAGCTCGTTTTGCTATAGCCATTCTGCTGCAGCAGGACTGGCAAAGTAATGCCGTGACAATCCCTTTTTGACACTCCGCGAGTGATCGGTTGTTTTCCACATGCTGCGAAGCAGCCGGGGGACGATAACTGCCCTGCCAGGTGTGACTGCTGTTTTCACGTGTAGCCGCCCATCAGCCACCAGGCTGTGGAGAAGATCTTTGCAAGTCTGCACACACACAATGGCGATCAGGTTTCCACTTGTCAAAATGATACCTGAGCATCTACCTAAAGCTAGGGAAACAAAAAAAGAAACAAAAAGATACCTTAGCATAAGTCTGCCCTCATCAGTAATACTCAAAAAGAGCACAGCTTTGCTGTCTTCAATGGATTAGATGGGTATTCCTGCTGATGAGCAATTGCTGCACGGGTCCAAGAAACCATGGGGCCAAGATTAGACTTGCTCAGAACTGGGCAAGAAAAAGCAAGAAATCTGCACTTGGGTCATTCTTGCATGCGGACATGTATGCTCACACACTTATACACAAAAATACAAGCACAACAACAGACATGCTCACACACACACGCACGCATACACAAACACACAAACACACAAACACATGTAGATAATGGACGAGGGGAACAAGAAGGGGGCCAGCATGATGAGGACGACAATGTGGAATGCCACAGAATGAGCAGGATCTGAATCAGCAGGAGAAGGGGGAGAAGGGGGAGGGGGGGGAGGGGCCGGGGGGGGGGGTCCCTTCTGTATCTCTCTGGCATGCGCACGCATCGTCTTTTTTTCTTTTTTTTTAAGGGTCTCCACTGACCACAGATCAGATTTGAAACTGATCGGAGTGGATGCTACACTTGATTGTTGGGGGGTGTATGGGTGGATGCGTAGTTCATTAGATTGGTCTCTCTCTCTCTCTCTCTCTCTCTCTCTCTCCCTCTCTCCCTCTCTCCCTCTCTCTCTCTCTCTCTCTCACGCGAGGGTGCATAGTTAGATTGGTCTCTCTCTCCCTCTCTCTCTCTCTCTCTCTCTCTCCGTCACTCACTCTCTCTCACACACACACACACGCACACACACGCACACGCACACACACGCACACACACACACACAGACAATCAGTTTTATGTCTGTCAGTCTTTTTCCTGTTGTCTGTCCTCCCTCTCATTTTTTCTGAGTATTTTTTCGTTTGCCCAACTGAGCACCCTTAAGTAGTGCCAAACAGTCGGTGGTTCCTCGTTTGGAGTGCCAACTGCACTCTTAGGGGGGCTGCTCGGTTCGGAATGTCTGTGTTGCCTGTAGGTGATGACGGATGCTCGTCGGAGTGTCTCCCTGGCTCAGTGGGTGGTAGGAACCAACAGTCTGTGGGGTTCACCCGTGATGTGAGTAGGTGATGTGCTGCTTTGCTCCGTGTTGGATGTGTGTACGACCCCGTCTGCGCTCCACCACTGCCTTGCTGCCCGTTCTGCTTGCCTCGCAGGTCGTTCTTGGCATGCTGCTGTCTCGCTATGTGGTTTGATCGGGTTGTGGTGTTGCCTTGCGCTTCGCTGCTTCGCTGCCTTGCCGCCCGTCCACTGGTCGTGCCTTCCGGGTCCTTTGCTTGCGCGCCCTGTAGTTTGGTTGCCGTGTTGGGGTTGCCTTGTGCTCGTCAGCATGGTTGCTCTGCTGCTTGTCCGCTTGCCCTCTCGTCCCTTGCAGTGTGGTTGTCTTGGTGGTGTTGCCTGGTGCTTCACTGCTTGGGAGCCCTGCTGCGAGTTTGGCGTGCCGTGTCGTTCCTTGCAGTCGTTTTTGGCGTTGTGCAGCCGTGTTGCCTCTACTGCGCTGCCTGGTGCTCCGCAGGGTTGCTGCCCGCTGCTATGTTCCACTTGGGGACAGACTGCCTTCAACAAGGGTCAAAGGGTGCATGACCCAAACCATCAATACGGGCATTCCGCAGATTGTTGAGGGTTCAGCCTCCTGATGAGTCGGTGGAACTCCGATAAAACAATCTTTCATCATCAGCTTTATTTATTTTTTTCAGTCGTTTCCTTGTCTATACTTGTATTTTTTTCGGGTGCTGTTTTTGCATTGTAGTCGTTTGTCTTGCTGTTGTTCCCTTGCTGTTTTATGCTGTTTACTTGCTCATCCGTCTACCCCATGTCTTTCACCCAGTGTGCTTTGTTGGTTTGTGCTGTTTGCCTGCCCACCCACCTCCCCGTGCCCTCCAGCCTATATGCTTTGCTGTTTTGTGTTGTTTGCTTTGCGGCATGCTGTCTGTCTGGAACAACATAGGCCCTGTGTCGTTTCCTGGAGCGTCATAGGCCCTGTGTTTGCCTGCCCACCCCCCTCCCCCATGCCCTCCAGCCTATATGCTTAGCTGTTTTGTGCTGTTCGCCTTGCGGCTTGCTTTGTTCCCCCCTGCTTTTTCTGTTGTTGTGAGGTGTGATGTAATACGATGGATGCTGGAATTTTGAGGAATCCTAAGGGGCTTTACCTTGTGAGGTGACAGTGAGGTGGAGCATGTACTTATTACGTGCTGAGGCCTCAGCAACATGTGTTTTCACACACATTTACACACACACACACACACACACAAACTAAGATCCAAAAATAGGAGGGAGGCGGAATGGGCGGAAAAGAGAGCCGACATAGCAGGTCAGAGAGGAGAGTGGTGCAACCGGTAAGCGCGGCGGAGAAGTGGAGGAGGAACAGAGGTTCGGAGGGCAGGAGGAGCAGGGTAGCTGAATAGGGTAGCGGAGGAGCAACGGTGGCAGCAGGGGGGTAGGAGCAGTGGAGGGGGAACGAAGGCGGGGGAGGGGGGGGAGTGGTGGGGGGAGGGAGCGAGGCCACTGACCTGAGTCTAGCGTTCAGGCGTCGACAATCCTCCACCGCACCTCAATCAGAGTCCACCACAGCTCATGACCAACCACAAGAAAGATGGAGAGGGAGTGTGTGTGTGTGTGTGTGTGTGTGTGTGTGTGTGTGTGTGTGTGTGTGTGTGTGTGTGTGTGCGTGTGTATTGTTCACTATACACAACTCCACATAGAAAGCATGACTGTGCCAGACTGTTTCGTCGGACTTTCACCAACTCATCAGGAGGTTAAACCCCGACAGTCTTCCCAGGATGCATTTGACTGATGGATGTGTACGTGCGTGTATGTGTGTGTGTGTGTGAAAGAGACGCACGGAGATCTCTCTCTCTCTCTCTCTCTCTCTCTCTCTCTCTCTCTCTCTCTCTCTCTCTCTCTCTCTC